GTTGGTGCAGATGGTGAAGGATTTCGATTGTGGTAGATTATGGACATTCCAAAGGCGGCTGCTCTTCGAGCGAGGGCCTGGAAAGTGTGGGAGGGGAAAAGCAGTCCTCGTCAACCTTACGATGAGCCAGATGAGGAGGATGAAACACTTGTGATGTGTGCTCACGCATCCGATTCCTCCCAAGCCTACGATTCCCAACGTCTTGCCGTTCGGATCTCTGCCAGGAATCAAGCCAGACTTCCACTTGCCTTGCTTGGCATTCTGATTAGATAGATCGAAACGTCTGAGCGATGTGAGGATGAGCCACATGGCTACGTCTGCAGTTGATTCATCCACCGCTCCAGGCGTGTGGCTGACCCAAATTCCCCTCTTCGTGGCCGCAGTCACATCTATCTGGTCATAGCCTGTCACGTCCAGTCGTGGGACGCAGATGAGGATTTACAACTCGTTCGTCGTCAGTCACGCGTCATCAAGGAAGGGGAGGTGCCATCCACGCCAAAAGATTTTTCTCCATCGATGTGAGCCAGCCTACTCACCAGCTCCATTGTGACAGATAGCTTTGACGGAGCTGGGCAACCTCTCGATGAGAGCTGCGTCGAACACGCCAATCTTTCCTGCACTGCTGTTATGTCTGTAGATGTGCGTGACTCCTGAAAGAGCACCTCCTTCTGCGAGGGACTCGAAGAAATCTTTCCTCGTCTGCGCTTCGAGCTTCTGCGACGGTCGCCAGCAAAGCAAGCATATCCGGTACTTTTCAGTCAGTCTAAATTCCTTGGCTGATGGGTGTTGGGCAAGGAGAGGTACAAGAATGGACGTACATGAACGGTGCCCACAGACTCGAGAATGTCCTTCTGCTCGTCGCAGGCGTGATCCTTGCGTGTCAAAGAGATGTGCTTCCAGTCAGCAAAGTCGGGCCCCGCAGGGCAGGCCCAAGGTTCAGCTTGCCACTAACGTCACGCACCACGGTGCCGCATATGAGTATCACAGGTTCAATCATCCTCGAAGGAAGAGAGATGATGCTTTCCCGTAAAGGACTCGCGGACATGTGTATGGGGTGCGCGCAGCTCGATCGTCCTTTGTTGATCGTGCCGTTATATAAGGTTCCACTTGCACTTCCGCCAAAGCGTTTCGCGGATGATGCACGAACGACCCACGACTGGCGGGGCTGCAAGCCTCCACCACGAATGACAAATCGCGATTGTGTGTTGTTGAGGGAAAGGCTTTGTTAAGCATGCAAAGCGGGAATCGTGAAATGCTGCTGACCAAGCCGAGCGTCACCTCCAAGAAGTCTACGGTAATCATAATCGCGAAGGCAGGCAGGTACTGTACACCACGCGTGCGTGCGTGACTGCTGCATGCGCACAGGTGGTGCATGGTACTACAGCACCGAGGCCTAGCTCAGAAGGGTCCACGACTGCACGCAGAAATTAGCATGTACCTACCTACAGTCGTGAGTGTGAGTAGTCCGCGGAATTGCGATTGCAGCTCTGCGACGCTTGCCATGGGGCTTTGAGGATCACGAAGCACGAACGACTTGATGAATGCT